ACCATTTAGGAATGTCTTTCTTAAGAGCTCAGTCTCATCTGTGAAACAGTGACAGCACACAGGCATGAGGGAAAGGTGCTGCAACTGGTGCTACAGCATATAGATTATGTTCATGTTACCAGAAAATTTTATACTATTGCCATGTTCGTAACTCGGAGCTGCTCTGGTTTATTTCTTCTTTTGTATGTGTGTATCTTAAGGCCAACCTGAGAATGTTTATGAATAATGATTCCAGCTATAAAAACCTCTTCTGTTGTTTCTGTCTGATTTTTACTACTGTGTTTCAGCTTTTTTTTTTTTTTTTGGGGGGGGGGATACCTGAAATTGCTATTCACCAGAATTTCAGGTAGGAGAACCATGACAGAAGGGCACTGGCTCAGCCTGGCGTGATACCCAGACACAGAAACCTCTTCCCGGTGAGCAGCCGTTCATGAGCACTTCCCTCATGGCAGCTCCATTGAGTCCTGCAGCCCAGTCCTCTCCTGCTGGGAGCTGAGCAGCACCCATGAATTCCAGCAGCCCATGACAGAGGCAGCTTGTGGCCCTCCCTGTGCCCTCACTTTAACATTGAAAGCTCCCAGACACTCATATTCCTCATTTGACCGGGCACAAGCCGTGATCTTGTCCATGACCCATGTCCCAGAGTCCCCATCTGCAAAGCCAGGGACTTCAAGAGTGGCTACAACTGTTTAAAAATGTTGGGAGCTGCTGCTGAAGAGCTGTGTTCGGTGTGAGAGCTGAAAGGGTCCTGCAGTGCTTTCACTACTTGGAAGCAATTAGCACCACTTCCAGGTGAAAGGAATTCCAGAGTTGAAACTTCACCAGCAAAGACTTGTGAATGAATTTTACCATGGTAGATCTGCACTCAGCAAATGCCATGGGGCATAATCAGGAGATGGAGCTAAATAGATATCAAGTAGACACAGCAAATTTTACACAGCACTAGCATAGTTTGTTTATGTGCACGGAACTAGAATTCAGTTACTTTTCAGTTTCTTCTGTTGTTGGGCTGTTTTGCAGCAGCAGTGCCTGGTTGAACTGAGTGTCTGACACGCAGGTGTTCTGGGCTCTGTGTCTTGAAGTAACAACAGGTTGGTGAGATAGTTTTTTTTGTAGAATATTTCCAGAGGAAGCCCTTAGGAACAGACCCTTTGGAATAGACCTTACTAAGCAGGTAGACTTTCAAGGTGCCAGGCTACTACTGTCAGTTCACAGCTGAAAAAAGTGCATCCAGTATGAAAAAAACCATAATCTTCGTCCCTCCCATGCCGTAATGTTTCCACAAAGCTTCAGGTCCTCCCTGCATTTCTCTAACCAGTCACATCAGTGTTTAACAGTGGGCACGAGCAATGCTTTGGCTTTTGCAGGACATGCTGTAGGCCAGACACTGCAGTGTGGGATTGTTAAACTGGATTTCAGAGGCTGCTGGATCTAGAATTAAAGGACATGGGCGTGAGCTGATGGAAATTCTGCAGGAGGCTGGCTTCCACAGTTCAGTGGAAATGAGCACCAGTTAAGCTGATGCAGATCTATAGAGAGGCAGCCAAGGCCCAGCTTCAGCTCAGGCATTTAAAATGAGCATGTTTCTATTGAAGGGGCTGGTGGCTACACTACCTGTGAATCAGAAAGCAAAAGAAAGATAGTAATGAGTGTGTTTGAGCTTTATTCTGGTAAAGTTGGTTCCCACTCCCCAATGCCCTTCTGTATTAAAGGGGAAAAAAAAAACAAACAAAGAGGAGATGCACTTTTTGAACATGAACAGGCCCAAAGCACAAACCCTTCCCCTTTGAACTTCTCCTGCTTCTGTGCTGTCACTGTGCATGTACTGTCTGTGTGGCTTAAGGTACATCAGGGGCATCAGCTCTAACAGAGAAAGGCAACAGAATTGTCTTCTACTCGTTTTCATGTTATGTGGTACTGAAATGCAATTTCTTGTTTATGAATTACTAATAAAAAGCTCTTTGAAATTACTTCATTGCTCTCATTTTCTTGAGCAAACTGTAGAGACAACCAGCATCATTTCTTAAAGAGCACAACTGGCAAGGGTATGTTCCACATTTGTTTGGCCAGGTAGAGCCCTGAACCTCAGCTGCTGCAGATCTTAACCAGTTCAGAGACAAAATTACAGTGGAGTAAAAGGGAAGGTATTGTACCAGCAGGATCCCAGATTAGGAGCCCTTTCTGATCACTTTAATTGCAGGTGCCTTCCAGTTAAATGAGAATCATACCTCAATCACCTTGGCTGTGAAAAAATTAAAAGGACAGGACTTGTGCTTCACAAAAATGCCTTTTCATTGGACAAATCCCTAGTGAACGCATGACCTGCTTCCCGGAGCTGTGATTAAAAGGCTTAGCCCAGAACCTGCATGATTCTGACAGGTGGCGAGTAGTGTTGGTGAGATAAGAAGACGGTTTATTAGATAAATAAGGTCTTATTTACTAAGTCAAGGCTAATGACTTTAATGACTCTCTGCTGCTTTAATGCAAAATGAAGCAGATGCCAGTCCCAGATGGAGTTACCAGCCCAGGACCAGAGGATCCCTACAGAGCTTTTGTGATGTGTGGCTTACAGGGAGCCTGGTACTGGGTCCTGCTGCTTACCCAGCACGGGCTAATGATTTTTCTGCAGCCTTCTCTGAAAAGGAACAGCCAATTTTATATTAGAAGTTACACCCAGAAATGTTTTTTTAAACTGTGCATGTCATTCACTTCAGATAGCACCATGGTATACACAGGCACTTCACAGTCCTGCCCTTCACGGCTCACAATCTAGGAAGGTGCAGCAGGAAGGGTGTTACCCACCCACTGCTCCACCTGAAGATTTGAATGAAAAGTGTCACATCGTGGAATGTAACTGATCATACTCGGCACTACTTTGTTATGTTGTCAGATACATGAACGCCCAGTATGTGCTGTACTACAGTTCCTGACACACACCCCCTGCTGCAGATCAGAGCCTTTGATTAAGTTAAGCAAGTCCTTCAAGAATACACAAGTTTCACTGGGATTGCCTGTTGTCCCAGCAAATATGACCCTTCCCCCATCACACCTGCTGACCTGACGGGGGGGAAAAAAGAAGTAAGACAGATGGAAGAGCACGGAAGACTCCCACTGGCACAAGGGCAAATCAAGAAAAAGATTAAAAGGATAGTTTACACAAAATCAATAAATTACACACCAAACCATCTGACTATACTGTTTTAAGTTCTTTTTTATTGCTAACATAAACCTGTCTGCACTAGTACAAAAACCAGACATCAACCAGAGACCAGAGTTTACCTCAAGTTTGGTACCTTCAACATCTTAAAACTCTTCAGAGCCAAGAGCTAACGTGCCCAGTTTGCCACATTCTAGGAACCATCACTGCCTCAGGAACCAGCTCTCCCCCACTTCTTCCTTCCACAGCAGGCACGTGTGACACAGCTACAGGTACTGGGCGGGGGGAGCAGCCACATTTCCAACCCATCTGAAGAGCTGATATGCCACCACTAAATTCTTAAACCACCCCCTGTATCAGAACCCTCCTATACTCTCTCTCCCTTGAACTGCAGGCCAGCAGCTGAGAAACACTGAACTGCCAGCCTCAGCTTGAACCACAGCAAACAACCTCCCTCTCCCAACTCACAAAACTGAACTTGAATTCTTTCAACTCTCCAAGTGCAGAATTCTTATTCAAAGTGCCACTTGTTACTATTAATCAGCATGGTTACAAGCACTGAGCTTTCTGCTTGGTCCCCAGCACCTCAAGATCCTTCCAAGCTAATGAGTGTTGACTTCATTTCTGCTTGATACATTTTTTTCCTCCTGTGTGCCCTTTTCCTCCTGCATCAATCCCAAAAGCTACAGCCCCTGCTCCCCACAAGCACCCTAGCACTTTCCCTGACATGCAGGTTTCTACCTTTGACAGACACCTCAGTCAATGCACATGACAAAAAACTGACTTCAGAAATATTTTCTAGCCATTTCCAGTGTAGAAGGAAAAGTTGGTGGACTTCCCCTAAGGAACCTGAGATTAAAGATAAACAATTCCAAATTCCACCAAACTATTCCACCAAGATAAACAATTCCAAAGGCAGGGTGTTTTTTTTGCCTCGAGGGTCAACTCAGACTACAAGTCTAAGAACTTGAGTGGAAATTGAAGTGTTGCAACAAGTTGCAGATCCCACACAGCTACAGATCCCACCAGATCCCATGGAGAAGTCACATGGTCAAGGGAGAAGAAGGATTGGAGCCCCATATGCAAATCAGATGGACAGAGAGCAGAAGGGTGAAACTGTCCAGGAAAGCTTATCAAAAATTAAGAACCACTTGATCTGCTAAACACTGGAGCCCACCTGGTCCCAGTGAGACCACTGCTGCAAGGTCCCTTGTACACAATGAGCAACCGCAGGAAGAACAATAATCCCACAGACGCACAAGTGTCACCTGCTCCTAAGACAAGGTAAGAGGCAGCAGCACTGTCCAGCAGTGGAGTCTGGCAGCTGGATGACAGGACTGGCCTCCAGAAGAAATTAGTCTTTTTTCCTACCCAAAGCTTCCTTGCTACCATTTAGTCAAGAGAAAAGCAGAAGAGGACTGAGCACAAGTAGGAAAGGTGCTGATCCCTGGCAAGTGGAGCAGCAGACAGATTGGAAAACTGAGTCTAGGCATACAGCTCCTAAATGGGACAAAACATGGAGTGAGAGCAGCCCAAAACCAAGAAAGTAATCCAGAAAACATGTGTAACTGGTACTGACCCTATGGTGTGTCAGAGAAAGTCAGCCACAGAGAGAGCGTGTGGTGACTTTTCTGGGAAGTCATCTAATGCTGGAAGGTGCAAAACAAATGTCAGTCAGCCTTAGGACAACACCAAGCAAATATTTCACTTCTGATGCAAAAAGCAGCTCTAGGCAACTCTTCCTCCAAACCAAAGCAATACATGAACCTTTCCAAAGACCTTCCAATTCCTGCTGACAGTCATGTTTTCACCATCTCCAGAAGGCATGTACGGAAATGTTGCAGCAGAGCTCTGCCATGGCTGCACTCCCCTTCCTAGCAGGAGGCCACCAGGAGCTAGAACATCTGCTGTGTTCCTTATCCAGGAAGTGGCATCACTCCTCTGAGAAGGGGGACAACAACTGACTGGCACCAAAGCTATCCAGTGTTATCTTCTGGAAAGAGGCTGCTATCAGCCTCTAAGCTCCAAGTTTCCATTCCAAAATAAGAGGGGCTTTAGGTCCACTTGAAAAGAGCAATGTAAATATCAGCTACTCATTTAATTGCTTTCAACAAATATACACATCTTTTAAAGTAGGTTTATTCATTAGGATCATGTAATTTAGTTACACCCAAATTAAAGTTCAAACAAACCAGAATATGAATGCTGAAAATTCCCTTAAGCTACAGACACTTTAAAGTTAGCAGATCAAAACAGTGACCAACATTTTACTCTTCTAGTGTTTTAGAAGATACTCGTGCTCTTGAACAGCTTTCTAAGCACATGCTCACCACTTGAATGAGTAAACATCCTTACAACATTCATTTCACTTCCTGTGCATACCAAAAAATAAGTTAAAATGCCCGAAGAGGGTTTCCTAAGAAATAAATACTACATCTGGATCAAACATGACAATTCTGTAAACATCAGGCAAGGTTAGGACCATTACCAATATATATTTATGCATGTTTTATAGGAAACAGTTTCTGCAGTTACTGGAGTATTTTTCCAGATAATGAGAAGCATTTAAAAGGATTTTAAAACCATTTTGTACCAATGTGGAAAAGTGTTGAAAAAATTCAGTTACACTGCTGGTTAACACAAAGCACTCAAAAAGGAGAGTTCATGTGGTTTTCTTGTACTTGTTTTTTCCATTTGGGGAATGAAAAGTTCCTGTTTATGACCATTTGGATTTCAAATTTCTCGCTCATTTCTCATTTCAACTCTTCTGGTTATTGCATCAATTTCTCCCTCAGTTAAGACATGATGTATAGAGCAAGGACCAGTGGAACTGCATGGTCTTCATTCAAGTTGCCTACAAGTACTCTTCTTAGAGATAAAAAAGTATTTTCCAGCACCTTCCAGGACTTACTACTCATGTCCTCATAGGGAGGGGAGGAACTAAGACAAATTAATAAATAAGAAAATAAATTATTCCTTTTTCCCTACCAAAAAACCCTATTTTTGGTTATTAACATCAAGAGAAACTTTATCTTTGTTTGGATACAAACATAAGAGATAAAGTATCTGGTGCCACGATCAGGCACCATATTTAAACAACATAAGAGTTAGTTCCACACAAGTTGTAGCCTTTCGGGATGATCCTCTAGATAAGTATCTAATGCTACAGTATCATGTTCTGACTCATGTAGTTCCCTTTAACTGATCATAAGACACTATCACATTACAAAGCAGACAAACTTCAGTGCTCTAGGACCTATCAGCCCTTCACAGAACAAAAATTCACATGGAAAACCCTTAATACCACACATGCATTCTTTTCAAGTTCGAGTAAGACAAACTGAGATCGTGCAAATATAACATACTCTCTATCCTTGTTTAAAAAGGCACATTTAGGCCGTCTTAAATGTGCTCGATGTTTTGTTTCCAGTGTTAAAAATAAATTGTTTAAAGGAAAAGAGCATCTGCAGGAGGTCAATTTAATCTTCAGTAGGCAACAAGAGCTGCCGTGGAGATGATAGATGAGGTTACTTTTCCGCTGATCCAATATTCTTATAAATATACAAAACCTCTTCAGATCAGCCTTGGAAGGGAGCAGTCTGCAGGATAAGACTTTTCTGTCAGTTACGTGGTTTTACTTGGTGAAACCAAATATTTGGTTTTATTTTTCCGTTGAGGCTGCTGCCATGGCTGGCTTGATGCCCTCGCGCGTTGACTTCAGCTCCTCCAATTCCGTGTTCAGTCTGCTGATCACCCACTCCAGGGCATCCCGACCCTGCCAGAAAAAATACTGGAATTTAGGATCAGAACAGATGCACCACCACTGCTCATGTTTCTATAGTTTTTCCTCTGTCAGACATGGGACTTGTTTTAAAATTCATTTCACGCCCTGCGTAATTTGGTACAGGTTATATAGATAATTTCTCAGCATCTTCTCATGGAAATGTCACTGAAAAGGCATTTGCTTAACCCCTAAGCCAGAAGCTCACTGTGAGCTCCCAGTAGTACATCGGGATTAGGCAAAAAACTTAATTCAGCAGTTAAGTTTCCTTACCTAAGAGGATCTCTGTTTTTACTGTTCGCTGCTCCCACCACTCAAAGAATATCAGAAGATTTACGGCAAGGTCTATATGTTGTTCTCAGATTCATTAACTGAGTTATATGGACTGTTTTTGGGAAGATCCAGGACAAAGAAAGTCTTCCAACTTTCTCTGACGTAGCAACTAAGAGTTCTGATATCTGTCAAGAGATCGGAAGTGGACTCACACTGAACTCTACATTCATGCGCAGCAACATTTCAGCACCTAAACCACACTGAGAGACTAGAGCTGCACATCTTATATCAAGGTATGGTCTTTCTCTGTTCAGTCCTCAGAATGGGAGTGCCACAAGCTATGAACTGACAGCCAGTCCTTGAGTAAGAGCTGGAGGACCCAGCACAATGAGCCTGTCAAAAATCTTTGACCTTAACAAGATCCTATAGCAGCTGCGTCCCAGTGACCACAAGATGCAACCAGCTGCACAACAAAGCCAAGAAAGCAAGAACTACATTAACTAAACAGAAGTGCAAAATTTCAGTGCAAAATTTTTATTTCAGAGCTCTGCAATCTCAGAATAGCAATGTTTGCCACAGCAAGCAGATGGGATCAGACCAGGAAACCACCTGGCCTTTTTTCACCTAAAGAGGTCAAGAGACATCAACTCTATTACTCTACTAAGAATAAGAAGTGAAGACACACAGTGAAGAGCAGTAAGTGGGAGCCACATGGCTCTGGCCAAGTCTAGAGTTCTGGAGATAAGGGTTTGAGCCCCAGAAGTCCTAAATCTTCACGAGAGTGAGTCTCAGTATTCAAGCCCTCTGCAGAGATTGACAGAAAGGAGGGGAACATCCTCCTCCACACGTAGCTTTGTTCCAAACTGTGATGTACGAATTTTGTTGTGTGCATTACAGGTGATAAAAGCGCACAGAAACCTCATAGTCTCCAGAACCCGCTGTTGTCTTTTATGAACCACTAAGCACGAACAAGAATCTGCATAAGCAGCTTTGAAAACCTAAGAAAAAAAGTGTCAGAACAATGCACACATACTCTTGAAGGATTTTTTTTTCAGGCTAGAAACATTACTCTGGAAAAATACGAGAAGCCCAGATCCAGGATGTGAAGCGCAACATCTTAAAAAAGAAATAAAGTCTTACTAAGAATAAGAGCATATTTATCTCAAGACCCTCACTAAGGTTGGTGAAGAGCTGACTCTGTTTTTCTTTGGGTTTTCCATATAAATAAGAATAAACACTAATTGTTACATCTGCACTGGCAGTCCTTAGATTGAGAAATGTCACGCACCTATGACAATAAAGTGCTCAGCTCTTGGTCAGAGTTCACAAAGGGAGATTCAGCTCCACCCCAAATTACCTCAATAACTGGAACGTTTAAGTTAACTTAGTTCAAGTAACGCCTTTATTTACTAATAATATTGAAGAAAGCGTGATTTAAATTGTCCGATTAAAGCACGGGTTGCTGAAAAAAGACCTTAGAAGGGGATGATTTAACTTCTGAATTCTTTCCATTTGAGGATAAAAGCAACCGTTCTTCGGCAGGTGATAACTTCCACCTTCTCCACACGCTGTGCAAGACCTGGGAACACCAGCAAAGCAGGCCATAAAACCGCCCAGACAGGGGCAGGCTACTGCATAGCAGCAAGTTGTAACTAGCCTTGAATTAGCTGAGAGGAGCGCTCCTAAGGAAAAATCGGGAAGGGGGGAGGGGAGTTGGGGAGAGAGAAGGAATCATCTTTCAGTAAGCTGGCATTTGGGCATTTAAAAGTCAAGTTTAAATGTCCTCTCTGAGGTGACACAGGCACAGAGAACTGAGTGAGACAGCAACAGCTTCGACGTTTTATTTGTCTAATTGCACAAAGAAGACTTTGTCAGGAAGTCAAACACCCCTGCCACAGAAAATGCTCATTAGAAAAAGGCTGAGATTCTCCTCTGGCCCTGACTATGAAACAATCACGTCATTGTGTTTTATTTGATATCTTTGTTGATAGGATTAAATAATTTTTATAAGTCCACAACATTCAACTGGAGCAACAAGATATTTCCTTCAGTTTTTGAGACTACATAGGTCTGTGTATGTCCTTAGATTCACATATACTTTATGCTACATTTTGCAGCTAAGAATAAACTCGTGATATTGGCAAGGAAGATTTCAGGAATATTCTGCACAGGAAATTAAGTTAGAAATCTCAACCAGATGCAAAGCCTCCAAGTATCATAAAACTACACAGTTACCAGAAAAAATCTGACAGAGGACTGGTCTATAAAATTTCATACTGTACAATTTCTCTAGTAAATCATTAAGCAAGCACATTCATAACCAGGCATGCATATTGCATTAGTCATTATTGCATGTGTCAGCAGTATGAAGTGTCTGGCAGAACAAGCGCTGCATATGAAGATTTGTTGGTAGAGCTTAAGTGACTGATAAATGCTGAGCCTTTGTAGTTGATGTTTTCCAGAAAAAAAGCCACAGAAGCTTAGTGGAATGAGAACTTAAAAGCAAACACTCACGGCATACGCAGACCTCAAAGTAAGCAGTGTAGAAAGCCCTACTTTCTTAACTAGGAGAAACAGCATAATGGATTTTCTCTTTTTTTTTTTTTTTTTAAGAAAACTGATTAGTTGAAGCACAAGCCAATACAGGAATGACAAGGACAAGCTACACTGACTAGTAGAAGGAAAACAATTTGCACAGAGGTATCACAAGAGGCAAGTACACTCAGTTCTCTCAACCCTGAAGTCAGATTTGTTCATAGGCACATCACTGCAGGAACACGTCACTACTGAAATGAATATACCTACAAGACCAGTGAAGAGCAGGAACAGTCTGGCACCCTGACAGCTTCAAGCTTTGTACAGATTTCCTCAGAAAGGCAACAATATTTCTCAGGCATAAGAAAAGCAAATACGATTCTGCTTTGCAAAAGATTACCCCTGTTAGGCAACCTGTTTCAAGAAACCAGTTTTATAACCTAAGAACACAGTTCTGTTTCATAATGCCAATTCCACTCACTAACCAATTTATTATTTCTTTGGGTACCAGATTTATTTACATGCTGAAATCACAGAAGCTAGGCCCAGATCAAACACCTTGTGGACGGACTCCTTCACATCCCTGGCTGTCTGCAGTCGTCATTCCACTTTCAAACCATAAGCAAGACTGGCACAAGACATGGCTGCAGCAAGTTGGTTGTCCAGTGGTATAAGCACAGGTTCACGGATCCGGTCTGGACTGGACCTACTCTCACCCTCTACCACTGCAGTGTAATGAATGTCTGCCATTCCTGTATGCAACGTGTGTAAAACATACATGCAGGTTAACTTATGAAATCCACGTGCCAACAACCCATGCACATATTTGCTAGAAAGCTGAAGAGCTATACCAAGAAGAATGCTGGCATTACCACTAGTTAGTACAAACTGCAGGTGTGGAGAACTGCTAGCTTAGAGCGCTTTCAGAATTTTGAATTATCCACTCAATAGCATCCCACCCCTGGAGTAACACAAAAAAGGTTTACAACGTATGGCAAATGACTTTTCCATCGTAATCAAAAATAATAACGCGTCATCTGCCACCTCTACCTCAGAGCAAACGCTCAATAATTCCAATTTCTTCAGAAAAACAAAACATTTTTCAGCAACTTTCATGAAGTTTAAGAGGAGTGCTAAGAGCACAGAGGCACAGCACAGCATGAAAGAAGAGCTCGTAGTAGCACAGTAGGTTACTGGCTAGCAAAGAAAGGGCTGGTAACAGCAATTAAAGTTCCTGTTAAGTTAAAAATCTCTAGAGACTTCTCAGCGAAATACTAAGAACAAGAAGTTCTTTCTGGTTTGCAAGAGGCTTGTGAGCCAGCGTGTTCCTTGAAAATGGCAGAACAGAACAATCTTTAAAAGAAATCAAGCTTTCACACAGGCAACACCTGAACAGACACCAAGAAATATTTACACTCTTTATCCAAGTTCAAGAGAGACATGAAAATGAGACATATATGCCACAAGAGGAATTCAAACAGTGTTTTTAAGTGTGCCTAGTTATGTGGACATTCCAGCTAGCTGGAGCTGTGCCCTCCACAGACTTTTAAATGGAGACCAGATCAGGACAGAACTGCAATTTAATTGAAAAACATTCCATTAGAGAGCACTCAGCTAGGTAAAGGTAATCTTCAGTGTCTAGAAATGACCTGTCATTACTTCCCTAACCCCTGTTTTTAACATGTTTTCCTCTCACTTTAGGAGAAGCACCCTGAAGGGTGGGAAAGGAGGCTTTCTCCTCTCTGATCTAGTTGTGCCACGCCTTCTATCAAGTTGGTTTACATTGGCTTGGTCAAGCAGTACCTTTCACAAGGACAAAGGGCTGGCCAAAGCACAGGCTCTCTGGCATAGCAGGAGTTACCTGGGCCAGATTCCCACTGTGCCGAGCCTCTCCAGCAATGCAGAGCACAAACTCAAACTCCAGGTGCACTCATCCTGCTGTTAGGCAGCAAGGCCTATGCTGCTCTAGCAACTCCATTTCTTCCCCAAACAACTCTAGGACAAAGTGCCCAAGCATTCCCATAGCTCTGTCCGTGGAAGCACAAGACAGAGGAGTCAGTCTAGTGTTACCTAGGAGAGCCAGCACAGTCTCACCTCTTCAAAGAATATGTTCCTGCTTGCACTACCTTACTTTCAGCCAAAGGCAAGGAGACAGCTCAATAATGGACAGGAACTAGAAAAACTGACAAAGCAGCACAGAAAACATGTTGGCATTAGCTGATAAACTCAGATTATGGGTATCTGATAAATCCAGATTAGAAAGGCTGAAAGTGAAGTTACATTCTTTCCTAGCACTAACTCCTGGAAATAGGAGGTTAGTGTTTAAAAAGGTACTTTGGAAAAAAACCAAAACCCAACTAATAAAATGCATATTCTATATACAATTGTAGCATACACATAGAAGCTTGTTTGTTCTGCTGTGCAATTCTAATTGAAAAACAAAGATTCAGTAGTGACACCTTTTCATACTGTGGGAAACTGTATTCTACTTGCTGAAGTCCTACAAAAGACAGTTGTGTAAACATGTAGATAATTTAAATACAGCATTGAACACACATGATTGACAATTACTATTTCAACAAAAAGAACAATGGGGTGGGGGGAGAGAGGGAGAGAACAGAATAAAGATGTACCTTTCTGGCATTAGAAGATATCGTGTTTGCCATTAAGCTTTCCAGATAACTGCTCAAGCTAATGCCTTTAACAGTAATGATTGCCTCTTGAGTTAGCACAGTTCTGTAACAGAATAAAGAAGGGTTAATACCTAAACTGAACTGGACTAACATAATGTCTCCTATCCACCAGGATGCAAAAAAATATCCTTACTTACTTCTCAGGGTTTTCGGGATGAGGAGTGTAAACCAGTCTCTCATCAACAGACACCAAGTTTGTGAGAGTAATCTTAAAAAGAAAACAAGAGCTGAAATCTTCACTTCCCCCCTTTCACTTTTCTGTTGTCAGCAGCACTACTGTAGTGCACTCAGTCTAGAGTCTGCAGTGTATGCAGAATACAGAACTCAGAACACAGACAATAAAAAGACCTATACAGGGTGATGCATCTTCTCCTGTCCTCGATCTAATTATATCAAAGTTTCCATTCACATTTGTACAAAACACGAGCAGCTTTCTCTGACTCCCAAGTCTGATTTATGGCAGGCGGTTTAGAGAGGCTCTTCAAGACCAAGACCACCATAACACTGCTTGGACTATACAGAAAATTAATACCCATGAAAGACAATGCCTCTTTTACGGAAACAAGGCTCTCCTACAGAAAACCCCATTTTAAATCTGGTAGTTACGAGTTCCCAGGATGCCCAAATACAGACTAATATTTCATTTACATTTTATGCAAAAAAGGCATTTCACATTGAAACTTTTGTTGTAAATGGCAGTGTAATGTATAACAACTCATTCATCCAAAAGTCAAACTATTTTACATGCATTCCAAGAAATAATCTTGCATTAAAAACAGAATCACAAATGTTTGATCCTGAAGTATTTAGATTTCCTATTTGTGAGAAGAGAAAATAAGAGAGTCATCTCAGACACCAACTAAAATACGGATATTATTGCCTTCTGATTAAAGATGCAAACACATTTCTAATCTAAATGTTAAGAGCAAAACATCTAATTTCCAGAACTAATTACCAGAAACTTTTTAAGCCACCACTCACATTAGTTGAGCAAAGCTCCATCTTTTTTTCCACTGGATCTACCACAGAATGTTCCTCAATGTAAGTCAGAGTTCTACTTGTTCCTAAAATCTGAAGATTAAAAAAAAGTTAAGTACCAAAATTAAACAAACAAACTGAATATTGAAACTCGTAAAGGCCATGTTCTCAGCAACCCCAAATAAATCCAGACTAATTCAGAGAAACCAGACAACCACGATCTGTGGCAAGATGTCACCCTGGTAGGTTGTATCAGTCCTACAGCGTGGCACAGACCAGCAGCCCGGGAGGCATCTACAGACATACACACACTATGGGCATGATAAAGCCTACAAAGTATTCTCACTATCAAGAATGCTACTTGTAGCCTGTGTGACACTCCTGTATGACAGTTCCTATGGATTAAGCTTTTACTTTGAATTCAGCTCCAATTCAGACAATGACATAAAAGTGCACCACACCCTTAATAAAGCATGAAGACTGTGAAAACCTACAGCTTTTACAATGCTCGGCAATCCCCACTCTGTGCTGAGAAGACGGTGACTGTGCAACCTCCCCTGGTTATCGAGGCTTCTGTCCAGGACATCTACTCCTACCACAGATGGATTCATCGGGTTGGGGTACTTTCTCATAGCAGCTTTGATCACTGTATCCCAGGGATGTCTGTAAAATAAAGGGGAGAGAATGTTTGTAACTATTTTGTATTCAATCACAAGTATCCAAAGGGTACTAAACCAGGATCTAGCTCGTGTAATATGGCACATGCTGTACAACTTCATAGCTCCCAGAAGTCACTTTGGAATTCCAGTTATGCCTGGAAGGGCAATAAGAAAGTATTGACACACAACCAGAAGAAAAATAAACTAATTCTTCTTTCCAGAATGAAGCAAAGAATTATTAACCAAAAACTAACAGAAATAAGGGCAAGGGGCAACAGTCACTAATTGCTACAAGTGACATTCCAATTAGCTGGGCAGAAACCCCTCACTGACGGGGCAGCTGCCCACAGAGATTGCTGGAATCTCGATTCATTCCAGAACTCAAGCAGGAAAACAACCTGACCTCATACTTCAGTTTGCCTTGCCTTGAGAAGAGGGCTGGACTAGATGACCTCTGGACTAGAAGCTCACTCCAACATAAATTCTTCTATAATTCTAAGCACACCAAATAAACTACAGTGGAAACCATTAGCTTCCTATAGCAAAAAAAAAAATTAATTCAACAACAACAAAAAAAAAAAAATCGAGAAGTTCAAAATAAAGAAACAGATTTTTAGAAACCGCATCAGCTCACAGCCTTATGTCTGCACCGGTACTACTGCTACTAGCAGTCTGTTAGCACAGATTACATTTATGGATACTCTTCTCAGTACAGAACTGTTTTTATGAAATGAGTTTTGATAATCTCAAACCCCTGGGACCACAGCAGCCCTGCTATTCAAGGCCAGGCTGTCCATACGACTCTTTTTCTTCTGAAACAGCAGAGGCTACAAAAATCATGGACTTGATCCACTACAGAAATTCTGTCCCTAAGCAGTTATTTCTATATTCGGAATAACTGACTGATCTGCAATGATAGATTTATAGCCTTTAAAGGTATGTTTAAAAATTCAACAATTGGTATCTAACTTAAGAAGGATTAGGGGTGCCAACCTGCACTTAGGGCCCTAAATGGATTTTGTTTTTGACAACACTACTTTTAGTCTTAAAATAGACTGGTACAGAAGGGCACCAACAGTACAGCACTGCAAGAACAAACAGAAACTTGGAAAAATAAGTTCTTTTTCCAAAAAGAAAAGCATCAGAAAGCTTTTTTGGTGCATGCAGGAAAAATAAGAGCCCTCCATTCCTACAGCAGAAAGAGTGCTGGAGGATTGTTCCTTGTAATCTTCAGAGACTATTCATCTCCTTTAACAGAAGATACACAAACTGAAAATGTCAAATTTCTGTCAAGTGTCCCTGAGGGGTTGAGTCAGAGATGTGATAAGGCATAACAATATTTTATTAACCACTCAACTGAACTACCTACACCCACACACCTTACGCCATAAGATGGGGGTGTTCTAATACACATCTTGACGAGAAAATGACAAAAATAGCTTTTGTGTTCCCTAGGCAACAGATACTCATCTCAAACTCAGAAGCTGTGCCATGCATGAGCAGCCTTTACTTCCCTCTGCCTGACACTTCACCTCAGAAGCTACAGTTCACTCACACCACTGATGAAGTTCAGCCCCGAACAACTGCATCCATCAGCGCTACAAACTGTGTTGACGTAATTAAAGAAGTTTAAAGCAACACATCTGGGATATTCTGTAAGTATTTTAAGAACTACCGCCCCCGGTGCTCTTCGGGCTTCCAAAATTTGTTTTAAGACCCTGCAGCAGTCGAATCAGCGGTGGTGGCGGCATTCCAAAAGCTGCACCGGCACTGCATCCTCCACGTCTGCTCCCCGACACAGCCTGTAACACACCTGTTCATACTTTTCCGGGTTGTTCCCTCGTTGCACAAGGGTGGAACTGGATGGACAGGACCACGTCCAATGCAGAAAAGCACTAATGGGAAGGAAACTTACTGAGGGAGCTGGTTGCTGGGCACCTCGGCGGGAGTTCCTGGCAGGTAAGGTACACAGCCACCCTGTCCATACTTCTTGGAATGTACCACCGACTACGTCAGGAGTCTGAGATCGTTTTTTTTAATAGTGTGAAAGTTATTTTTCCTTGAACACCCATCCCTCTATCAAGCCAGCACGCTGCCGGGCCGGCTCCACCACTCTGCCCTGTTGGAATGCTATTCCCGAGGTGGAGGAAGCCCTGGTGCGGGGAAGAGCCCGAGGCGATGCAGGACTCGCCGGGGCCTGTCCGCCTGTCCTCCTCCTCCTCCTCCGGCCGCGCCCGCGGCATTCCCCGTTTCCGCCGTCACCCCGGCGGGGCCCGGTTACGCCGCAGAGCCCGGCCCGGGGTCTCGCCGCGGCCCCCCATCCCCATCCCCATCCCCATCCCCATCCCCATCCCCATCCCCATCCCCACCCCCCCCATCCCTCCTGCCCGGCCCCCTCACCCGAACACGTGCTCCGAGCTCCAGATCTTCATGGCGGCTCCCTGCGCGTCCCCTCGGAGCCCGGCGGGAAGGGCGGGAAGACGGCGGGAGCAGCTCGTGCCAGACAGACGGACTGCCGGCTGCACGCGACCCGCTCAGCGCGAGCGCCGGGCGGCGGGGCGGGGCGTGCCCGGGCGGGCGCGCGCGTCACGCGCACGCGTCATCGCCCCGCCCCATCGCCCCGCCCGCGGCGGAGGGGGAGGAGCGGCACCGCGCGTGCGCTGAGCGCGCAGCTGCGCCGGGCGGGCCGGGCCGTGGAGTCACGGAGTGAAGGGATGTCCTGGGCTGGGTGTGACTCACGGGGGGCAGAGAAGTCCAACTCCCGGACGTGCGCGGGACACCCCAAGTATCACACCGTGGGCCTGAGAGCATTGTCCAAACGCTTCCTGAGCTCTGTCAGGCTTGGTGCTGTGGTCAGTTTTCTGGGGAGCCTGTTCCAGTGCCCAGCCACCCTCTGGGTGAAGAGCCTTTTCCTAATATCCAACCTAACCTCCCCTGACACAGTTTGCCCTGAAAATGTGCAGCCTGGGAAAGCAATTCTGCGTTAGCGTTGATTGACTGACCCCCCTGCCCCTCACAAACCCTCACCGCTAGCTCCTCAGCACAAGAGAAACATGGAGCAGGTCCAGTGGAGAGCAACACAGATGATTAAGGGTCTGGAGCATCTCTCTCATGAGGAAAGGCTGAGGGAGCTGGGCATCTTCAGCATCAAGAAGAGATGACTGAGAGGGCACCCTGTCAATGTCCAGAAGTATCTGAGGGAAAGGTGCCAAGAGGATGGAGCCAGGCTCTTCTTGATGGTGCCAAGCTAAGGGATAAGAGAAAATGGGCAAGAACTGATGCACAGGAAGTTCCACCCGAATATGAGGAAGAACTTCTTTACTGTGTGAGTGACTGAGCACTTGAACAGAGCCCAGAGCGGTTCTGGAGTCTCCCTCACTGGAGATACTCAAGAACCATCTGGACACAATCCTGTGCCATGTACTCTGGGATGACCCTGCTCGAGCAGGGAGCTTGGACCAGATGACCAGCTGTGGTCCCTTCCAACCTGACCCATTCTGTGATTCTATGAAGTACCAGCGTAGGAGTTTTGCTTTAAACACGCTGATAACAGCCATGGTTGGGGGTGACAGGCTGTCAGGCTCAGCGTGTTCGGGTCTGTGCCCAGGGGCAAAGTGTTTGTTGGGAATACAGCTGGTTCACGTAGCTTGTTTGTAAGCAGCAGATTGAGATGCAGATTAAGCTCTGGGTGGGAGCCTGAGACAAGAGGCCATGACAGGCTAAACCTTTACATAACAAAGGGCACAAAGACCGGTGGCAGGAAGCCAGGTGAATGGACACAGGGAGACACCCTGGGAGGAAGAGAGACTTTCGGGCTGCTTGGACTGGGAGGGGATAAAAGCCCAGGGGTGCAGCCCTTTGTTGGGGGTTCCTCCTTAGATGCACCATCTCGGGTTGTTTCTGTGTTACTACGCCATGAATAACTTGCTTTATGGAACTAGACACCTGAGACTCTGCTGAGGGAAGCCTGGGGTCTAGCTGGTAAGGAAACCTGGTCTAACTGGATGGGAATGGAATGTGTGTGGGGAATCAAGCGGGGCAGCCGTAGGCTCACTGGAGCCGCCATCTGTGAAAGGGCTCAGTCCCACCGGTAAAAGTGGCGTTGGGAGTGTGACTGCCAGAAAGTGTCCTGAACAGTCAGACTGGGATGTTTCCTCAACAGTGATGACGCCAAACACCCGAGTTCACCTGGAGGACTTTGCACAGAGTAATTCTACAGCGAACACGTCAATACGAAATGCCCTACATAGCGGGGGGAAAAGAGGAGACAAGGTTTTTTACTTGCCGTCACCAGGAAGCTGCCACAGGGTGAAACAGCCCCAGCAGCGGGAGAATCCGCCCTGCTGAGCGGCGCCAGCCGGGCTGGGCTGGGCCGGGCTGTGCCCTACCACGTCATCCCTGCCCTTGACTCAGCAAAGGGATCTGGACAAGCTGGATAGATGGGCTGAGGCCAATGGCATGAGGTTCAACAAGGCCAAGTGTTGGGTCCTACACTTTGGCCACAATAACCCCAGGCAGAACTGCAGGCTGTGGGCAGAGTGGTTGGAAAGCGGGCCAGTGGAAAAGGACCTGGGAGTGCTGGTAGAGAGCAGCTGAGCATGAGCCAGCAGTGTGCCCAGGTGGCCAAGGAGGCCAAGGGCATCCTGGCCTGTATCAGAAATAGTGTGACCAGCAGGACAAGGTAAGTGATTGCCCCCCTGTGCTCATCATTGGTGAGGCTATGCCTCAAATACTGTGTTCAGTTCTGGGTCCCTCAGTTCAGGAAGGACATTGAGGTGCTGAAGCAGGTTTAGAGAAGGGCAGCGAAGCTGGTAAAGATTCTGGAGCACAAGTCCTATGAGAAGCAGCTGAGGGAGCTGGGCTTGGTTAGGCTGGAGAGAAGGTTCAGGTGGCAGTACCACTCTACAACTACTTGGAAGGAGGTTGTAGCCAGGTGGGAATCGGTCTCCTCTCCGAGTCAACCAGCGACAGGATGAGAGGACATAGCCTCAAGCTGCTCCAGAGTAGGTCAAGGTTGGACATTCAAAAGAATTTCTTCACAGAAGGGTTGATGGGTCACTGGAATGGGCTGCCCAGGGAGGTGGTAGAGTTATTATCCCTGGAGGTGTTTAAGGAAAGACTGGACGCGGCACTTAGTGCCATAATCTAGTTGACGTGGTGGTGTTCCGTCACAGATTGGACTCCCTGACCTCGGAGCTCTTTTCTCCGTCTCTGTCACCGACTCTGTCACCGACTGCACTCCGAGAGCCCGCCCAGCCCCGGGGGGCGGGGCTCAGGCTGGTGACGGCGATGGGCGTGGCCGCAGTGACGTCTCCCTCGCTCCGCGCCCGAGGGGCGTGGCCTTCCCCGGGGGGGCGGGGCTCAGGGTCGCCCTTCGGCCGCGGCGGAAGTGGCCGCGCGGCGCGGTGACGTCAGGCGCGCGTCCCAGCGGTGAGAGGGCGGCCATGGCGCACCGGTACCTGCTGCTGGCGGGGCGCGGCCGCCGCCGGGGGCTGCCCGCGGGCCCGCTGCTCCAGCTGCTCTGCGGGAGGGGCCTGCTGGGCACCGCGCGGCCCTGCCTGGCGCAGGTGAGCAGCAAGCGCGGGGCGGGAGTGGGGGGGAGGGCCGCGGTTGCTGTGGCGGCGGCAGCGGGCGGCCCCGGAGCGGGGAGAGGCGGCCCGGGGCTGGGGGTCCGCGGGGCACCGCGGGCTCCTGGGTCCGCTTGCCGAAGCTGCTGCATCCCTTCAGTATTCATAGAATCACGGAGTGTTAGGAGTTGGAAGGGACCTTAAAGATCATCTCATTTCAACCTCCCCCTATAGTGGGCAGGGACATCTCACACTAGACCAGGTTGCTCAGAGCCCCATCCAGCATGGCCTTGAATACTGGCAGGTTTGGGGCATCCACAACTTCTCTGGACAACCTGTTCCAGTATCTCACCACTCTCACAGTGCAGAATTTGTTCCTAATATCTAACCTAAATTTCCCCTTTTTCAATTTGTACCCATTACTCCTTGTCCTGTCCCTACAGTTCCTGATGAAGAACCCTTCTCCAGCCTCCCTGTAGGCCCCCTTCAGATACTGGAAGATTGCTATGAGATTTCCATGTAACCTCCTCTTTTCCAGGCTGAACAGCCGGAACTCTCTCAGCCTGTCTTCTCAGGGATGGGTTCCCACTTCCCAGCTGCTGTGTCTCACCTAACTTAAAAGTTTCTCCATTGCTTTCTCAGGGTGATGATTTGTGTTAGATGGGTTTGTGGCTGTGTGAGAGACCGAAATGTTGAAGGTTAATGACTCTGAGTGGTTTGTTTGGGTTGCCACTGTGTTGGAAAAGAAGAGGCTAACATTGGAGGAATGACAGGCCTGTGCTGCTGCCTGGGAAAAGGGAGGTGCTTACTTCCTGCATCTTCCAATGGCATCTTGGGAGGGTTGCTTTGTTTTCCCGTAGAGTGGCGAACAGTCGGGCCTTTGTAGGTGTGGAGGTTATCACCAGGGTAGAGGTATCTGTGAGGTGACTGTACAGAAGAGTGTTAATGACACAGTCCCCAGTACAAATGTGTGGTTCAGTTTTAATGCTGAATTTGTGGTTTTGTTTGGTCAGAGCTGAATATCATTACAGCAATAAATAAAACACTCTCAACAGTGCTGCTAATCTCTCAAGAAGCTAATTCTTGTTTCTTTCAATAAATTTAATGAGTTTTTTTTGGAGTGGAATTTAGGAAGTGGACTTTGTATTAATACTGGCATCTGGCTGTGTGTGTTAGCAGCAAAACAAGGAACTTCGTTTTCATAAAAGCCATTACTTTTTTTAATTGATCTTTCTTTAAAAAAAAAATTAGTAACTTGGAATCATAAGATCTTAGAAAGGCTTGGGTCAGAGGGGACCTTAAAAATCATCTCGTCCCAACCCCCCCATCCCCTGCAGGGATGCCACTAGCTGGACCAGATTGCTCAGAGCCCCATCCAACCTGGCCTTGAACAGTTTCAGGGATGGGACATCCACAGCTTCTCTGGGCAACCTGTTCCAGTGCTTCACCACCCTCTGATTAAAGAATTTCTTCCTAGCGTCTAATCTAAGTCTCTACTCTTTTAGTTTAAAAACATTCCTCCTTTTCCTATCACTGTCTGCCCTTGTAGAAAGTAGCTTGCATTAAGTTGAATTTCTTTACCAACTTTTTGTTGTGTCTGCCTCCCTTCCCCCCAATATGCTTTTATGTAATATTTTGGTGGCCATTAGATAATTAGGACTTTAGGCTTAATTTTACTTTAATTTGGAACTTGTTTATGGATAAAACTCTAAGCTTTTAACTTTCTAGAATTACTGGATTCTTTGTCTTTTGCTTGCATAGCTAAGCAAGTGGATTTTCTGATCTTGCCTTAGGTAGCCTCAGTTTTTAAAAAATGGATTATGCTTACAAAGATTTGTAGACTTGTAGTTCTGCTTATGATCTTGGGTTTATGTTCTGCTCTGGTGTAATTACTTTTTATGAGTTATTTGAACTGTGAAACTGTGAAGTGTGTACTTCACTTAT